GAACTCAGGGCTTTGCATTTGTAAAGCAGGTACTCTACTGCTTAAACCACACCTCCAGTCCATTTTGCTCTGATTATTTTGGAGATGGGGTCTTGTGAACTATTTTCTCAGGCTGGCCTCAAACCATGATCATTACTATTTTGGCCTCCCAAGTAGCTGGAAGCTACTGGTGCCCAGCCTGTGAATCCCTTTAAAAAAAAAAAAAAGAAAGAAAGTTACATAGAGTAGATTCCTTGGTATCCACAGGTATCTGGTTCTAGGGAGACCACTGCTGGGGAAAGACCATGAATGCACAGAGTTCAGTACTGCACTGTGGATTCTTGATTCCTTTTGCCTATAGCACAGCCCAACTTCCACTAAGACATGCCACCTTTCAACAGATCTAAAATTTTCACTTTATTGCTTAAACTAAGCATAATAACTTTTACCTTGTTTTTGGAGCACCATTTGCTTTTTGGGAGGCATATTTTCACAAAATTAAGGGCAGGGAAACAGATCACATAACAAATTAAACATAACTAAAAGTGTGTTCCTGAGAGCTTCTCCACATCAACAGAGCTGCAAAATCACAAGAGAATTAAAAATTTTCATTTTTGAAACTTTTTTTTTATACCACACTTGGTAAAAAACATGTACTAAGTCCACAAAGAAGACAGGATTACTGTACTTCTAAGACACAATGCCACCAAGTCATATTCTATTCTAAAAGGAATGGAGGCATAGGAAGGAAGGAAGGGACAAAAGACCAAAACCCAGCAGGGAAAAACCTTAAACCTATAGCTCTAGGTCCAGCATCCAGGGATGTGGTGTTGTGATGTGAACTCTGATGGGCTAGGGTATCCTTGTTCTTATGGCCTGTTTGCAGCCCACATAGCCTTTCTCTTGCACTGGCTCCACTTGTTGCCTGTGGCTTTCCTCAGCAGACTTTCAACATTCCCAGTATCCCCAACATTCTGGGGTCTCCATTAAAATTTAGATTTTACCCTCATAGCTTCATGAATTGCCCTCTTGGGGCCTGCCTGCAGGGATATTGATCCTGGCTCACATTTCCTCTTCTCCCAGGCTTTCCTTTGACATTTGGGTGGAAGCCTCCATGGCCCCATAACTCTTGCATTCTGCATGTGCCTGTGAAACCAACATCACGTGGACCATCCGAGGTCTGCTGCTAGCTTGAGTAGCAGCCAGGCCTCTTTGGACCATGGCTTCGGTGGCTTCTGAATGCCTGAGCAGCTGCACTCAGGCAAAACACTTGCCTGGTTGGACCCGTGTGGTGCCAGGTTCCCTGGAGCTTTCTTCTTGAAGCAAAGTCTTACAAGTGAGTTGACACACCTTTACACCCTTGATCCTGAAATGCATGGGGAATGGCCAATTCATGAGCTGCCCTCAAGGCATCTTTTCTGTTGTCCAGATGCAAAGCACTTGGCTTCTTTTTAATAGTGCCAAGCTCTTTCACAACTTCTTGCTCCCTTATTTTGGTCAATCTACACATTGTTCAAATGTTTCCATACTGCTTTTTCTTCCTGATTCTCACAGTAAACCTGACTAAAGATAGCAAGCACCATCTGAATGCTACTATCTTGAAATTTCTGCTGCCAAAATAATTAGCCCATTACTTTTACCTTAATGTTTTCTTTTCTTTCTTGGGGCAGTACTGGAGTTTGAACTCAGGACCTCATACTTGCTAGGCAGGTGTTCTTACCATTTGAGACACTCCACCAGCCCTAGTCTATTACTTTTAAATTTGGCCTCACCCAAATTTCTTAGGACACAAAAAATTTAGACAAACTATTTGCTTATTTGACTCAGCATATCCTCCAGGTTTATCCATGTTATTGCAAATGTTAGGATCTCCTTTGTTAAGGGGGAGTAATATTCCACTGTATGTATCTGCCACAATTTCTCCATTCCTCTGTTGGGCACTTTGGTTGTTTACATCTTGGCTATTGTGACTAGTGCTTCAATGCATATGGGAGCACTGATTTCTTTGGGAAGTGATTTTGCTTCCTTTGGATATATATACTCAGCAGAAAGATTTCTTAGTATCATAGTTGTACTTTTAATTTTTCTTTTTGGTGCTAGTCATCCTAATAGCTCTGAGGTGATACCTCCTTGTGGTTTTGTTTTGCATTTCCCTGGTTAGTGTTGTTGAGCACCGTTGCATATACTTTGTCATTTGTATATCTTCTAGGAAAAATCTCTATTCAGTTCTATAAACACTTTCTGAAACAGGCATCCCTGGTTTTCTTTATCATCACTAAACTGATAAGGTTTTAAACCTTTTTCAATCTGGTAGATAGATTTAGTTAGCTCCAAATAATTAATGAGGTTAAAGCACTGGCTTTGTTTGCCTAAGTGTAATTACTTACCATTTTGGAAGGCTTTACATATAGAAGTTCGGTTTCAAAATCCAGTATCTTTTTTTTTTCTTTTATTATTCATATGTCCATACAAGGTTTGGGTCATTTCTCCCCCCTTTGCCCCCCACCCCCTCCCGTACCTCCCAACTCCACCCCCTCCCTTCTCCCCCGCACCCCCTCAATTACTCAGCAGAAAACTATTTTTGCCCTTATTTCTAAATATTTGTTTGTAGAAGAGTATAAGCAAAATAGGAAGGAACAAGGGTGTTTGGCTGGGTTTAGTAAGGGATAGCTATACAGGGCATTGACTCACATTTGATTTCCTGTGCGTGGCTGTTACCTCTAGGTTATTCTTTTTTTTTTTTTTTTTTTTCTGATTCAAACCCTTTTTATTTATTTATTTTTTTTTTTATTATTCATATGTGCATACAAGGCTTGGGTCATTTCTCCCCTGCCCCCACCCCCTCCCTTACACCCACTCCCCCCTCCTCTCCCCCCCTCAATACCAGCAGAAACTATTTTGCCCTTATTCTCTAATTTTGTTGTAGAGAGAGTATAAGCAATAATAGGAAGGAACAAGGGTTTTTGCTGGTTGAGATAAGGATAGCTATACAGGGCATTGACTCACATTGATTTCCTGTGCGTGGGTGTTACCTTCTAGGTTAATTCTTTTTGATCTAACCTTTTCTCTAGTTCCTGGTCCCCTTTTCCTATTGGCCTCAGTTGCTTTTAAGGTATCTGCTTTAGTTTTCTCTGTTAAGGGCAACAAATGCTAGCTAATTTTTTAGGTGTCTTACCTATCCTCACCCTCCCTTGTGTGCTCTCGCTTTTATCATGTGCTCAAAGTCCAATCCCTTGTTGTGTTTGCCCTTGATCTAATGTCCACATATGAGGGAGAACATACGATTTTTGGTCTTTTGGGCCAGGCTAACCTCACTCAGAATGATGTTCTCCAATTCCATCCATTTACCAGCGAATGATAACATTTCGTTCTTCTTCATGGCTGCATAAAATTCCATTGTGTATAATACCACATTTTCTTAATCCATTGTCAGTGGTGGGGCATCTTGGCTGTTTCCATAACTTGGCTATTGTGAATAGTGCCGCAATAAACATGGTGTGCAGGTGCCTCTGGAGTAACCTGTGTCACAGTCTTTTGGGTATATCCCAAGAGTGGTATTGCTGGATCAAATGGTAGATCATGTCTAGCTTTTTAAGTAGCCTCCAAATTTTTTTCCAGAGTGGTTGTACTAGTCTACATTCCCACCAACAGTGTAAGAGGGTTCCTTTTTCCCTGCATCCTCGCCAACACCTGTTGTTGGTGGTGTTGCTGATGATGGCTATTCTAACAGGGTGAGGTGGAATCTTAGTGTGGTTTTAATTTGCATTTCCTTATTGCTAGAGATGGTGAGCATTTTTTCATGTGTTTTTTGGCCATTTGAATTTCTTCTTTTGAGAAAGTTCTGTTTAGTTCCCTTGCCCATTTCTTTATTGGTTCATTAGTTTTTGGGAGAATTTAGGTTTTTAAGTTCCCTATATATTCTGGTTATCAGTCCTTTGTCTGATGTATAGTTGGCAAATATTTTCTCCCACTCTGTGGGTGTTCTCTTCAATTTAGAGACCATTTCTTTTGATGAACAGAAGCTTTTTAGTTTTATGAGGTCCCATTTATCTATGCTATCTCTTAGTTGCTGTGCTGCTGGGGTTTTGTTGAGAAAGTTCTTACCTATACCTACTAACTCCAGAGTACAAAATCCAGTATCTTAAAGGAACCTAAGTGGTGGTAGTAATGCTAGGCTGATTACCAGAGGGCTGCCAAGTGATTTTGGGCAAGAATTGGACTAGTTACTTGTGTGGGCTTGTCTGTAAAGTGAGGGGTATGAACTAGACAGTTTCTAGATTTTTCCAAATGGTAATAGTCTGAAAAAAGCCTTGCTATTCCTTAATCACTTCAGGCTAACTGTCCTTGTTAAGTAATGTTAGTTGACAACTATCAAATGTTTGGCTATTTGCCAATTTTGGGTACAATCCTAGAGAAAATGATAAATTGAGAAGGAGAATCAGAACTAGCTAGTATCAAAGTGAAAGGATGCAGTCAAAAGTTGTATATAGATTGGTAGAAATCCATTCCTACTGTGGAAATATGAACACCAAAGTTCTGATCATCACACAAGGTATTATGAAGTGACAAAAACACATCAGTAATCTTTTCATAGGTGTTGAGATTACATCTCTTTTGAAAAAACTTTCTGTCATTTTGTTTTGTCAGACTGAAGGTTTGGTGGAGAGGATATACCATGAAGTGAAGAGGTTGAGTTAAACTAGCTGAATTGAGAGAGGGGGTAGGAGAACAGGTAGATCTCCCATCTTCCCCAGATACTGAAATTTTTCTCTGGAGATGTCTGACAGGTGTGTGCAAAGAGAAGTGTAAGGTGGCCATTGCACATTAATGCCAGTCATAAAGTTCTTACACCAGCTTGTTCCAAGAGAATCAATGTCAGGAATGTACAATTTAACCATTGGTTACAAACAACTATCATTTATGCATGTGGTGAAGTGAATCCCTATTCTACCTTCAATATAAGAAATTAGTGCAGAAGTGACTAGAGTGTAATGAATTGAGCCATTTGTTGTGACTTGCAGGTTCTTATGAGCGCTTCATTCCTGGGAGCCCTGTGTCTTTTCTCATCTGTCTGTGTTGTGTGTGCTATTTCTGCATTTACCCTCCCCATTGAGACCAAAGGACGGGCATTACAGGTAAGTGATCCAGGAAGCTCTTGGTCTTTTCAACTACTATTTTTTAATCAAAGGAAATAAACTTGGTATATGGGGCATCCTTTGTTCAAACAGAAATGATGTAAAATCCCCATCACATATTTTTAAGTGTTAAGTTGTAAGAATAGGGAGTCACAAAGGAGTTGTCTGCATCTGTCTTCTTTCACTGTCATCACTTGAGGGGAGCAATCTTGTTCCCATGAGATGATTGCTTCTACTTCCTGGTACAGCTTCATCAATACAGGTAATTGTCATCATTTGGAGGAGTGGTGTGTCCTGCAAGGCTCCACTGTTCTTTACAGGAAGTTTCAGTGCCTTATCATAAAGGTATTATCAGTTCTGTCCTTTCTGGAACCCAAGGTGATCACAAAGTGACCACAAAGAGAATGGCTTAGAGTAAAGACAGATACAAAATGGAGGCAGGGATGCCAAGCTTCTCCTGTTTTTAGTTAATTCATGGGCCCAAGTAAGGAGTCGGTGCTTTCCAGCAAAAGCAGTTTAAGCATCTCTTACAATCCACCTGAAATGAGGTCTGCCTGACCAAATGCTTCACGGACCACCATCACACTGACTGTGAGGGACCATCTACATGGCTTCACAGCCCCAAAACAAATGAGTTCTGCTGCAGAGGGCTGGGCTGCCTTTTGGTATAAACTCTGAATTTTCATTTCTTGCCCTCCAGCCCCACTTGGATGGTCTACTTAACATTTTTACAAAAAAACATGAAGATAGTATTTTGGTTTATGAAATGAGTACAACCCGTCCAATGTCAGAGCTCATTTGACAATTAAAACTGTTCAAAGAAATGACAGTGCACTGTGCTGGGCTCCCGATTTCCTTGGAGGTTCTGGATGAAGGTGTGCACAAGTACATCAGTCTCTGCTGAGGTCTTCAGGGACTTGGGATTGCGCTTTTAAACATGGAGTGCAGAAGCCTAGATTTGGACATGACTGAAGATGAGAGAGAGAAGCCAAGGCCAGGCACGTGAAATGAGGGGTTCGAGTTAGTATTCACCCCGGGGATTTTTCCATCTTACAGCAGAACGTTAATAGAAATTACTTGCAACCTGCCTCTATACATTGGGCTGTTTCAAAGGGTTATTTGCCTCATCTCAGGTCTTGAGTGAAATTTTATGTGTAATTGTAGCGTATTTATCCTACCTTTGTTCTACCACAAGAACAGAGAACATATGTTTTGTGTTGCACATCAGACTTTTCTCACTTGTTATGCAGCTGTCCCACAATTTCGCCTTTATTTTTAAAAAATGTTATGGCTTTAAATTATCGTTTTGACTGTGCAATAAACACACAAAGTTTCAGTACGGCCCTAGTAATGCAAAATAACAATCAGGAGACACTTGACTGCTCACATAAAAAAAAAAATGGATGCTCCAGTCAGGTGTGGTGGCACACACCTGTGATCCCAGCTCTCAAGATGCCAAGGCAGGAGGATTGTGAGTTCAAGGCCAGCCTGGGCCACATAGAAAACCCTGTCCAAAGAGAAGGGAAAAAGCCCCCGAAATATAAGGTATGGGAAAATCATGAGAGGCCTTTCATAGTCTTCTGCCATTATGATTGTATTTAGTAAAGAATGGTTATCTCAAAGTACCGTTGGGGGCTCTGATGTTTTCCTGCCTTAAAACTTTGGTTGGTACAAAAGACATATGTGTGCATGTGTAGGGAACAGGAGAATTGCTGAGGTTGAGCTGCAGCCTCTAAATGAGGCTGTAGTTAGTGATGCTTTTATAACGGAATATGACTTTCCCTTTCTTCCCTGTACTGTTACTCATGGGAAGACGGACAAGTTAATATTCTCACCACAGGTGTGTTCTATGAGTAGATATAAGGAAGGCACTATTGAGTAAGGTTTATTTATGCTGGTCTCTGATCTCCCCCTCCCCCCAGCTTAAAGGTAATACACATTTTTGTCAGACATAGTCACCTGTCATGTAATTACGAATTTAGGGCTCATTGAGCTTCCTTCCTTGGAAAGATAACCCATAACTGAATGCTTCAAGTCAGAGACTGAATAGATAATTCATATGCTGCCTTTTAATCTTAAAGGATTATCACCTCCTTTATCTAGGGCACAAGGAAATCCAGCAACTTATGTAAAGAGATGTGTATTTAAACCACACTGGAGAATTAAGATGTTAAATCCTGTGCTACTTTTCTAATCCCTTCCAATTTTTCACAACTTTTAAAAATTAGTGTTACAACCTGGGCATAGTGCCTGGCTCATGCCTGTAATCCTAGCTACCCAGAAGGTGGGCAATCAGAGGCCAGCCTAAGTAAAAAGTTCATAAGATCCCATTTTTTAACCAGTAAGCTAGGTGTGGTGGTATGTGCCTGTCATCACAGCTACGTTGGAAGTGTAAATAGGACTGTGGTCTAGACAGGCCTGGGCATAAATGTGAGACCCTATTTGAAAAATATGTAGGGCAAGAAGGGCACCGTGACTCAAGTGGTAGAGCACCTGCCTAGCAAGTGCTCTTCAGACCCACCAAAAAAATACACCTAAGAAGGAACCTGATTCATTGTTTAATTTCCAATTAAAGTACTATCTGCCTACAAAGGACTTTTCTGTTGACTGGACTGGGTCTTAGAACGCTGATGAAATGATTTTGCATATCTATTTGCAGTCTTTTTAATGTTGTCCTTCAGAACTTTAACATATAGGTTCAATACATATACATGAGCACACGGCCCATGAGGGCCCTGCCACTCAGGGGCCACATGCCTTTGAGAAGACATATACACATATATACATACCTCAGTATTGTGAGTAGTTACCATATAAATCTTCTAGATATGTTTATAAGAACATGCCACATTTTTAACTTCAGCAGCGCAGACAGCACCAGTAACTTGGCTAAACCAACTCAGTCACAAGTTTAAAAGTAGTATTGATTCTACTTCAAAACTACTGTAAGAAATTTTGTTAATCCCAGTGAACTAAAAATTCAATAAAATCTTGAAAAGAGTATATTTATTTTTAGTGTGAATTTTTCTAAATGATGTGTTTCACTAGAATTACTATATTATAAAGCTAGTATTGCAATTTCAGGTACACTAAGATAAATGCAGAATCTTAATTTCTTATAAACTAGTATTGTTTCTACTAGTGCCAGGTAGTTGAGCCTAAGTAGAAAAGAGTTTAAAAAAAATTAAGTATATTATTTTCTTTTTTGCAGCAAGTTAAATGAAAACCTGCAAAGCTACATCTACCAGAGAAGAAAAAAAATCTATTTTATCTTCAGAGTTGTATATCTTCAAAAGTGATTTCTGTATGCTACTTTGGTAATTAATAAATTGATTATGTATTAAAAAATAAGGCACATACAGAAATGCAGTTGGGTAGCTGTCTATTGATCTTTTCCTTGGGAGACAATACATTAAAAAACTTATACCTTAAGATTGGGTTGGTAATGGGATATACTGTGTGTGTGTGTGTGTGTGTGTGTGTGTGTATGTGTGTAACATGGCTTTTCTTCCTTGACACCAACAAATGCTAAATCTTAAACAAAACACCTATTTGGTATTCTCCCATGAGGTCTGTAGCTAAAGGACTGAAATTGTGTGGCTAAGGCAAGAACTAACATCATTAAGTCTTTCAAAACTATTAGGATAGTTGAGTTCAAGTTAAAATTAGCGTATTTATTTAAACTATGGCCTCTGTAATTTAATAAAAATACTTTTTATAAAATATTCTTGTTAGTATGCCATACATAAATACCAAGAAGCTGGGAATAAACCAGCTTTTTTTCTTCATACACTCCTTATTTCTACTCTAATTTCCATATTTTCCAGGGGGAATCTTTGATTCCCATGATGTTGATAAAAATTTGAATGCACACTGGGTGCCAGTCTCACACCTGTAATCCTAGTTAGTTGAGATGGATAGAGAGGATCATGGTTCAAGGTCAGTCCGGGCTGCTGAGACCCCATTTCCAAAGTAACTAGAGCAAAATGAACTGGAAGTGGGCTCACGCGGTAGAGCACCTACCTTGCATGCTTGGAACCCTGAGTTGAAGCCCCAGTCCCACCCAAAATAAATGAAAAATAATACAACTTTCCTACACCATGTTAATTATGTATTAGTGGAGAGATCAATGCATGTGTGATGTCACAGCTATGCACACCATGTTATATTAGGAGGCATGATGTGGAAAGAAAACGCCTAAAACTTTTGCACTTATATTTTATCTTTCAATGCTGTTCAGACTTCTTATAGAGGCCCACTGAAGTTGGGGACTCCAAGGATGTTCTCTCCACACCCAATTTCATAGTTGAAAAAAAATCCAGCAGAACCACCATGTTGCTGCATTAGCGAACTATGTATATGAAGCTTATATCTCTGCTTATGAGGGGCACAAATACTTCCTATTTGAACCACTGTGTGGCTTAAAATCAGAAATGTTTTTCTATAGAAGGTCAGACAGCTGAGTAGTTATCTCTTAGTATGCTTGGGGCATTGTTCCGGGACTCCTACAGAAACCAAAATCCCCAGATGCTCAAGTCCCTTATATGAAATGGCACCGTATCTGCATATGACCTAGACACATCCTCCCACCTACTTTAAAGCATCTCTAGATGATTTGTAACACTTAAAACAATGTAAACACTATGCTAAAAATAATGACGATGCAGTCTGTTTATGTTTATACATAAAAGCATTTTGTTCAAATATTTTTCATCTGCAACTGGTTCAGTCATCACATGTGGAACCTATGGACATGGAAGACCAACTGTGTTTTAGGCTTTGTGAGCAAGCTATGAACTCTTTCACAAGCTTAACACATTCTTAGCTTTCGGCTGTACAAAAGCAGGCCATAGGCAATTAACATAATTTTAACTGAATATCCAACGTGACAAATCCTTATTAACTCATGTGGGTTGCTTAACATACTTACCAGTATTAGTCATCAGTAGAAGCAAATTTTAAGTCACTCAG